TAACGGGGGTCTTTAGGGTCTGTTGGCAGCAGGCACTAATCAACATACCAACTTTTAGGATAATTGACCCTTGCAACAGCTATCTCACCCAGTTTAGAAAACCAGTGAAATAAGGTGAAGAGAAGAGAGCATTGGGGAGGGGTTAGAACTCTGTACTATTTAGAAAGCTCTAGTGAGGGGGATACTGTAAAAGACCCCTCTTTGTCTGTCCTCCAGCTTTGTGAAAGGCTACAAGAGAAGAGTTGGTGTTCAGGGTTAGATTAGATAGACGGCAGAGGTGGAATAAGTGAAGTACTCATGTCTTTTTAATGTCTTAATTTCTGCTTCTCTGATTATCTTAATAAATTAAAGGGTGTCTTAATCTTAATCCCTTAAATTATTAAAATATGCTGGTGCGGTAACATATCAAGATGTGTTTGAGGACTCTTTGCACATCTACATCACCAGGGATGCCAGTAACCTTGAGGCTTGTTTAAACTCATACATTTTAACACGCTTAAAGTATCATAGAATTGTACCACCTTAACATGCTAGTTATGAAACATGTTTCCCCTTCATGCAGACCTTAGTTTTCATGTCACATTTCTGGATGGTGTAGCCTGTAATCTCGCAGTTGCCGTCATCTTTGGGCGGCTTCCACTCCAGCGCGGCATTGAAGCCCCACACATCGGTGACATGCACGTTGACAGGCGGGCCTGGCTTTTCTGGAAAGATGTTGAAGAATGGAGAGATGATTTGCAAGATTTTAGGGGAAACTCAGCAGGTTTGATACACGATATGAATAGGAAGCTGACATAGCTCTCATCCATTCCTGGGGATAAATACTGCCAGAAGGCTCTATGAGGCAGCGAAGGGAGAAATCCCAATGAGAGACAAAAATCAACAGTTGCAGCAGTGGAGATTTGACAGATTAGACAGATTAGAGAGATTGGCTGATTAGCTGAGCAAAAGAAAAGGGATCAAAGAAAGACAGAGGAAGATGAATACTGTGAAAAAACTGTCGGCGCAGAACCGTGAAAGCAAATGCATGCTTTGCATTACAAAGAGGAAGAATGCAGCCCGGTATTATTCACTAAACTGTGTGGTCCCTGTGACACAGTGCAGCAGAGGAATACTGGAACATAGCTGAGTGTTTATTATCAATCTCACTCTCCTCTGCAAACTGCTTCTTTATTCCTCCAGCTCAAACAGCATGGTGAGGGATCATCCAAGGGAGGGGGCGGAATCTGAGCCTCTCATTAGCTCAACCTTCTGAGCACTGTAAAGTGACAGAGTAGCCCTCAAAATCCAACCCTAATCTGAGTCTACGTGCAAATAATCCTCCCGGAAACCCGGCCCATGAAATAGAGCCCTGCAGGATGGAGGAATGAGCCGGCGGCTGCAGTGGCACTGCAGGAGTCTGGATTACGTGGCAGAGGGGAATGAGCTCTTTGATGATTTGCTACTTTTAGTCACACAACCTTCAGAACAGGAAATGAGGAATTATCATCAAGTTTGGAAAATAAATTTCGACATGTTGCAGATTTAGAAACCGTCCCTCCAAACAGGTTCCTAATCTGGTACCTCATGAAATTGGAACATGCATGATACTCTAATCTTAATTGGAGAACACACAGCATAAGACTCTTTAGGGGAGGCTAAATGGCAGTTAACAGCTCATATGGGTGATGTCAGCTCTTTTTAGGGATAATATTTAAGAGAACTGGCAACTTTTAATGCAGTAAGAAGAGGATCTTCTTCAATTAAACTAACTGAAAGAGCAGAGGTGTCAAGTACAAATACTGTATTACCTTATTTAAGTAGAAAATGTATAAAAGTAGAACATTTACAAAAGTTATCTATATTTTACTGGAGTAATTATTTTTTAGATAACCTTTTACTTCAACTCCCTAAATATTTTTTTGCAATTATATCTATTTTCTACTTTTTACATTTTAAAAATAGACTCGTTAGTTTTGTTTCATTTAAGTCCATTTTCATTATGGCCTCTTAATGTTAAAAAACAAACAAACCTTAAAATAATTTGTTTCATCCATACAATTAATTTCTTTGTTGTTGGATTCTGTGCTGCACCAACTTGTTATTCTCCACTTACAAAAATAAACCATTTTTGAAGATGACGCAATTTTAAATTTGTCAAAGTTGCCGTTACAGTAGTTATAAAACAAAAAAAATTGAAAAATGTTCCTTTAAAAGGGTAGTGCAGTAACTAGTATAGGATTTAAAGCATCTATCTCTGTAAAGTGCCTTGAGATCACATGTTTTGTGAATTTCTGCTGTATAAATAAACTGAATTGAATTGAACGTGTCCTTAAATTTTCCTGCATTACTTTTACTTTTATAATTTAAATAATTTTAATAATGGCACTTTTACACTTTTACTTGAGTGAAAAGCTTAAGTAGATACTTTAACTTCTATAAAAGTGTTTTTAAATAGTAGAATTCATATATCTAATTGAATAATAAAGAATAATCAAGAATAATAACAACAATTAATAATAACAAAGAATAATCAACTCCGACCTGCACTGACGGACACTTTTCACCTGGTTGCATTATTCCCCAAGCCATTGCCCCCCCTCAACTCCGACCTGCACTGTCGGTCACTTTACACCTGTTTTGCACTTTTTTTGTACTTAAGGTGTGAATTTACCCAAATATTCATGTTTAAAAAAGGAACTGACCTACGACCTGAATGTCTATGTTTGCGCTATCCGACAAGTCCTCAATCTGAACACACAGGGTGTAGGTTCCAGAGTGTCTTCTCTCTGCAGAGCGGATGAACAGGATGGTGTCCACCGCGCTGGTACGAGTTCCCACGGTTTTGTCCTCCAACAGAACACCGTCTTTGAACCAGGTCACAACGGGCGAAGGTTTCCCCTGCAGTAACAGAAAGTACACTATGTCCAGTAACAAGTGTTAAGAGTTTTTATGTTTTTATACTCATGATAATAAAGAAAAGTACACCCTGTTTGCATTCTAGGGTTTCACATATCAGGACATATTGACTCAACTTTACGAGGTCCGTCAAAGTGGAGCAGATTTTTTTCTCCACAGCTCCCTTTAAGTCAGTGAAGCTCATTTGGAGGAACTTCAAATTCTGTCCAAGCTGTCTAATATTTGTGTCCCTTTTGAAGAGGTCTGTGTTTTGTAAAATGTATGTTTTTCGGGTTCTGAGTTGTAAAATATATGACACTACTACATCTGGCCGGTAGTACATTACTTGTAAAGTAATATCTTCTCTTTATTCTCCTGAGAATCTGTGGAACAAGTTTAAGGCTTCGTAAAGAGAAGGAAAAAGAATTTCTTTGAACACTTCGAAATGGTTAGAAAAACCCCAAAATAATTGGATGAACTGATTAGAAAGAAAGCTGAATTGCTGTCAATTTGATTTATTTAAAACATGCAGTATAAATAGGTAAGTAAACCTTTACAGTACTTTACAAATATTGGTGCATTAGGGTGACATTTAAGTCTGGTCTTTAGAGAGAGAACATAAATATGGATAGATTTGAAGTATCTGAGTTTTAAGTCCCATGCTGCATTTTAATACGGAGCCCCTAAAGGGACATGGGAGGGGAAAAAAATAACTTTTGCGAGATTCTGCAATATGTTTGCGAGATCTCGCAAAAGTATTGTGGGATCTCGCAAATTTTATTTTTTCCTCCATGTCCCTTTAGGGGCTCCGTAGTATAAGATGTGTAAAAAGGAATTTTTACTCATCTAAAGCCTGGGACTCGCTGTATGAATCTCACTGTTTATAAATGTGCCAAGAATCAAACCTGATTATAAAATCTACGATAAGTACATAGATTTACTGCTGCAACAGAAGCATGCCCAATAAAGATTTCTGCTCTA